TGCAACATGATGGATCAAAATATAAGTAGTTGAGTAAAATAAAACACATAACACCACCCACATAGAGTTATAAAGTAGGTAGCAACTCTTGGAGACAATACTTTAGGGTAGTATAAACATAAGAAATTTTCACAGAATGACAGTTATCGATGATTTGATAGATATTTGTGCTCTAGACAATAGTAATAGTGATATATATTGTCAGCCATAACACAATTATTTAGTAGCCCAGAATTATAGTAATTTGCAGCCATTCAAGTTTAATTAACATGCTTTAATGTTGGACAGACATTGGAAATTGTGTATGAAAGTATGGACTTAGAAGAACTAATTCAGTCATATGTTTTTATTTGAATCATTGTACAAGCAATTTAATTTTCTCAGGTATGAGAGAGTTCTGTGTTAATTGGTCCATAGTTTCTCAATAGCTTTTTGCCTTTTTCTATACCATCACATTTTGTAAAATACCATAAAAATACCATTGTCATGTGTAATGTTGTAGGTTACTTGGGATATCAGAACATTGTGCATTGCAAAAATCTACTTTAAACAGCAAAGTAGTATTTCTGAGAAAAAGACATTGTAAAACACAGTTTATGTTGCTAAAGGAATACATTTAGAGTTTCTTTGACAATGAAATGCTTGTCTTTCTATCATTTCCAATGGTAGAACTACAAGTTAAGTGACAAATTATGTTTCCTGTGCCATGAATTGGTTCTCATTAACAAGCAACAAAATATTTCCCTCTATCATTTGAAAGAGCCATTTTTACTAGGATGATCATTCTGCTTCCTATTTTGTGCTACCATACACTATATATATATATATATATATATATATATATATATATATATAGTCCTCAATGAATGTAATTCTATATTCTCATCACCTGTATTCTAGTATGACATAGAATAAATATTTAATGGCATATTAACTGAAGTCATCAGTTTGGGTGTATTTCCTTAGTTTATATCAAATCCTGACAAATCTTTTATCAGGATGTCTGCCTAAAAATCTAAGTTAGAAGCTGTCATAAAATGTCAGATCTATTCACCTGACTTTAATCAATCTGTCACAAAAATCATAATATAAATTACAATTATGTTGTACACTATGTTTGATAGGATCAAGATGATATACTACAAAGCAATGGAATAAATTGAAGGCAGGAGACATACAGAGTGCAGATCCTATGTATAATTCATTCTTTATAGGTACACAATAATTTTAACCAATCTGTGGAGATTTGTGGATTTGGTATATTTTATTCTTATGCTGATTCTAAAGCCCTGTCTGAATTGGACTCAATTCTACCTGAATTAAATCCTGTATAAGATAGGTATATTAATTGTATTTCAAAGCTTCCTGGATAATTTCATAATTGGAAATGATATATGGGTAGAGAGCCATTGAGGGTCTGGCAGGCCCCCAAACATAAGCTAACCACTTGAAATTGAAAGCCATTGAAATTGCTTAGTTGTTTATTGCAGACATTCAAATTTAAGTTATGAAAAATTTGTAATCATCATTTCAAGTTTGTCTTGAGCATTTTGTTTGAAATCTGGGGAATTCATGTCTACAAAGATTGGACAGCATTAATTTCCTTATGTTTCAGATATTAATTGAATAGTGACATCAATCAGAGAAACACCCCATTCTGAAAGTGGCACAAAAAGTAGACCTATAGGGCTGGAGAGATGGCTCAGAGGTTTATATAACTCTTCCAGAGGTCCTGAGTTTAATTCCCAGCAACCACGTGGTGACTCACAACCATCTATAATGAGATCTAGTGCCCTCTTCTGGAGTGCAGGCATACATGAAGGCAGAAAACTGTATATAAAATAAATAAATAAATAAATAAACCTTTAAAACAAAACAAAAAAGTAGACCTATCATAAGGACATATGATGCAAGAGATAAACAATTTGACAAAGTTATGACAGGATAAACAAATACAACAAACAGGGAAAATAAGGGGAAAAGCACACTAGCCAGAGGCAGCAGAAGGTGTGTTAGAGGGAACCAGGGAGTACTGGGATTAAAAACAGGTCTTGGTGTCCCATCTGGAAGAAGAGAAAGTTATGTATGAGAAAGCCCTGCACAAGTAAGACAAAGCATCTTTTTTTGTCTTAGGAGGAAGGCAGACATTTGAATAGTGAGGCCCTGAAGCCTGGAAAATAAGTGGGGGAAGTTGAACAAAAAGCAAATAATAAGTTGTGAAGTCATCTGTATCATGTTAAATCAGGCTAGTGGGAGAAATGGGAAAAGGGGTATTGGGCTAGAAATAAATGGGTTCCATACTATACAGTGGCAGATTTGAGACAGTGAGGAGTTTGTACAACTAGGAAAACGATGCTTTATTCACAGAAAATAAATCTTCCAAGTGTTTGATATTTTAAGGGGCTTTTTAATAGAAAAGTACAATGACTTACACATGCTAAACATTAATACTTACAAAAAGTGAAGTCAGCCAGGTCTCTAGATAGAGGAGGTAGAGGTGGAATTCCTATACCTTCTTTACTAAAATCATAATTGGACAGAGGACTGCATACAAATCAAGTCGGAAGAAAATAAAGGGGTAAAATCATGCTGGACATAACAAAAATTGTGGGAAGTGATGACCTCTGGGTTTGGGGGAGAATAACTAGAGAAAAAGGCTCAGTGACTTGGCACCACAGATTGTGGCTGAGGAACAAACAACGTTTATCAAGAGTGTTCTTTCTGGGTAGAGTAGTGTCCATTGCATATATACTAAATCTTTAATACTTGTGCAGTGAGTAAATACATGTAAGATCATAATAGAACAGACACAAATGACATTTTTTATATAGTTTCATCTGATGTTGACCTTAGTTATAGTTTAAATGCATTGTCTCTTCATTTCTCTTTGTTAACCATTTTCTTTCCCTCAGTTCCTATACCAAAATGCTGTCATATTATACAACAGATATCTCTCACACTGTTTACAGAACAAAGAAACAAAGCATGCCAAAGCTCATTTTAAGAACTCACATGTTATGATCAATCTTTCTGCCATAAACCGCTGAGCCCCACCGCCACGTGTATGCTTTACGCCAGTTGCCTGACCGAGTTAGGCCCAAATGAATACACAGAGAGACTTGTATTAGTTACAATGCTGCTTGGCCAATGACTAGGATTCTCATCTGTTAGCTCAGTCTCAATTATCATACATCTATATATTTTATAAGACTTATCTTATCGGACGCCTTATTGGCGTCCCTCCTAGCTGGTGGATCACATCGTGCCGCTGGAGCAGTAGCCGAGAGGAAAAGAGCGGGCCCTTCCTGTTTCTCTTTCGTTTAAATATGAGTCTCCTTGCTACGTCACTTCCTGCCTGGATCAGCACTTCTCTACTACATTTCCCAGAATCCTCTTTGACTCCTAGTTCCGTCTAACTTGCTGTCTCATTGGCCAAACAGTATTTTATTCAATAATCAATAAGATAAACATACACAGTTGTACATCCCCCATCACTCACATATACATTTGTGCTGTGCTATATCTATTTCTTTTCTCTATTTTTGTGGTTTTAAAGAAATAAATCAGTAACAACATTATAGATTATATGCCTTAGAGATTAAATGTCTTGCCTACTGCTTTGGGTGAACCAGATTTTAGGTGCATCATTGAGGAGGTAACCTCAAAGTAAGACTCATAACCAGGCCAAGTTGTAATAGTTACTGGCTACTTGAATTGGGCAACTGTGACCATAGACTAATGTCCTCAAAGGATTACTTTATAAATGTAGATGATCCTAGCAGGCTGTTATTTTTATATTTCTAATGCCAAACTATGGTGAATTTTGGTTTATACAAGTATTGTCTCATGAAGAATGAACAACAGTGAGTCTCCCTTTGCGTGTACCAGATATAATAAGTCAATGACTCATCAATGTGTACTCCACGATATGAGATATGAGTAGCCTTATCATTTAGTTTGAGAGACACTGAATAATGTTTGTTACTATAAGCATGGCATTGCTTTCTATCTCATTTTTTGCATCAGTAGCAGTTGAGGTTACTTACAAATCCTTCCTTGTGGAATCAATGCAAGTTCCTCAGAGTTGAGGATTACTAGAATCCAACAGCCCATAGCATAGAATTATATAGATCTGACCTGGACTTCAGGGATCTGCTTTACTTGGAAGCAGTTAATATCCAATATCTCCCAAGTGTGGTACGATGAAGGATCATTTCATTTTTCCAATTGAGGATGATTCTTAGGGCCATATTCCTCCAGATTGGGAGTTAAATCCAAAGCATCTCTCTCCCCATTCTGCTCTATATACTCCCAGCTCCTGTTCATCCTGAGAGTTGCTTTAACGAAATTCTCACATGAAAATTCATCTCCAATCTGTTTTTCATGGAATTTAGAGTAAACCAATATGGTTTCTGTACATATATGAAGCTATAAAGACTTGGGAAGGGAATCATACTTCCTCCAGGATCTTTGTGTGGCATCCTAGAAACAAATGAGAAGCAAACAAAACTAAAGATGTATATTAAAGCAACATTGTGCTTTTGCTTCATGATATCATACAAAATAAGATTTTTCTCTAGGTATAGTATAATGGATTTACATGTTACACTGTAATTTGAAAACAGTGGCTAAATTGGGGCAGTAACATTTGATGACATGGTCAAACCCTTCTAATAGTGACAGAATCACTGACATCAAAAAAATGGAAGGCACTTGAGTTGAGGCAAAACTGTCAATGTGCAACAAGATGGGCTTATTCTGTTTTTTCAGTCTGTGCTTCACGAGATAAACTTATTTTTAGTCCTGTAACCTTTGCATAGGAATTAATGGAGGGATTTGTGCACTCTTGTAACCTTTAGCAAACCTATGTGCTGTCATATTAGGAACTATCCTGAACAAGTTAAAATACTGGGTTTTTTTTCCTGAGCTGGAAATATAGTAGGTAAAACATATAACTTCTGAAGACAATGGAAATAAATTCATACACTTAAAGGACACAATTGCAATTGAAGACTACAAAATGCACTCTTTCCTCCTGAAGAACACATGATACAGGAAGCAGAATATGAGTGAGGTCATATTTTGTTAAAGAGTTGGCAATCCTATCTTAAGCTTGAATTGCAGAATGATACCATTTTGAATATTAGGACAAAACACTTATACCACCCTATGGACATGCATTTCTGAAAATATAAAATTTCCCAACCCATTTTCAATTTATCACTTGTGTCTATTATTACTTTCCATGACTATAAGTCAGTACAGTGTTCTAGGCCAACTGGGTGAATTCTCTACCAGAAATGTCAACCATTATGTAGTTAACCACATCTGTAGATTTTTTAATGTAGTAAAGGAATATGTGAGGAAAAGTTTAAATGCAGTACCAGATCATGAGTCATTTCTGGAATTATGGGTTAGATGAAGTCCTGAGGCATTAGGTAATGAAACACCAAGCTGATGATAACTAGGATTAAGAAACAGTTAGTTACTCACACATAGTGGAAAATGTCATGTGGGTGTGTTGAAATCTGAAGACAGAGTCATAATTGCAGGTTTCTTGTAATCACTTCTGAGGAGACTCAGACCTATTTACTTTTACAACAATGAAACTAAGAAATAGAGAAATTTAAGTCTTGGTCAAATTTTTATTTTTATTTATTTATTTATTTTTTGGTTTTTCGAGACAGGGTTTCTCTGTGTAGCTTTGGAGCCTATCCTGGCGCACACTCTGGAGACCAGGCTGGCCTCGTATTCACAGAGATCTGCCTGCCTCTGCCTGCTGAGTGCTGGGATTAAAAGGGTGTGCCACAAACGCCCGGCGTCTTGGTCAAATTTATGTGGACATTTTTTTTAAAAATTCAATAAAACCAAACTTTCAAGTCCAAGTATTTCCTCACTCTGTTGTCCTGTTCTAACTCTTATTCTACAGTTTTGCCTAAAGCAAGCCCCGAGGAGACTTATTTTTCACTAGAACAGGGCTCATCCCCTATTGCCAGTAACATTTTATGTGAATTTTCCTTTTTCTGTTTGTCTGCAATGAAAAAGAACAAACTGTTCTCCTAATATGTTGCAGAAGTGACTCTCTTGTACTGTATATCTTGTCTCTGATGGATTTCTTTTTTCAGAATCCTTACACAAGTGCAAACATCATGTGTTTCATTGGCCATTATTATTTCTAATCCTTCTATTTAAACAATGATCTCTGTGTCAATCTTTCACATAAAATCCAATTGACCTAGCATTTACTGAAGCGATTAGTGGCTGTGTTACTATTCTTATGCAAGTGTCATATCAGATATACCAAAGTGAATTTCTGCTTGTTTAAAGTGGAAAATATTTGCATGGTTCACAAATACAATAAAGAATATACCAATGAATGCTCAAATTAGATAATTCTATGTGTTTTCCTAGTATCATTTGTGAGAATTCTATAGTATTTAATTTACCTATAGACAAAACTAGAACATTAATTGATTTTGTGTGCCTATATTATAAATTGCCCAAGCATTTATAAATGAGACCTCCTATATATTTTCTTTGCCTTTATTAGTAATCCTCTTCAGGGAGGGTAGTGACTATAAACTTAAAGCATCATGTATTTTTATAAACTCAGATGCATTATATTAAATAGTTTATTTATACATACAAACTATAGTCTATATTAGGAAGTTACATCCCTTAAGGGTAATAGAGAAGAAGAAAAATAAGGTAGAATCTGGTTAACGTAACAAGTTACATATCACTAAGCAATTTCAATGTCGTGCTCACTGTTAAAAGATAAACATTTTCTCCCAACTCCCCTTTCTTTTGACCTTCTTTAAACCCATATTTATGATGTTAAATGTGTAGTCTTGAAAACCATCAAATAAACATATATAAATTAATTGAAGGCTAATGTAAAATTCTTTCTGAATGTGGGTAGTTAAGTGTTTAGGAGCCTGAGTGAATTGTAAGATGGGTTTTATTCCTTCAACTATAATTAGGAAGTCAGCTGGGTTCCTGTACAATAAATTGAACAGAATTTCCCTGATGACCACTGTGCTATTCAAACTGCCCACTTACTTGTATTAACTGGGGTCTCAAGTAAACCTCTCCATCCGTGCTTTTGGCCTTCCTGTGATGGCCTTTGTAATTTACTTTGTGTTCTTCTACAGCTGCTCCTTCTCTTTCATCTTTTGCATTGAGAAACAAATATATTTTCTTAAGTGTCCCAGGGAAGGTCACTGATCTTGAATTTAGCATTTGTCAACTGGCTGTTAATGGGACTCTAGGATGGTAATTAGCATTTGAAGAGATTTACTAACTGATAAAAATATTAATGAAAGAAAAGTGATGGACCTGGAAAGCTCAGCAGATTGTTTTACGCTTATTAGCAGACAAAATGTACACACAGATAAAAAAAAAAGCATGAGTCAGTGCAACTCAGGCATCATTGAACCATTGATTCCCACCTGGCTGCCAAGAAGCTTAAACTTATCATGGTCAGCTTGTAAAAAGATATTCATGGATGGATAAACAATATCTCCACTGATAAAAGTGGTTGTGTGTGTGGGTGTGTGTGTGTGTGTGTGTGTGTGTGTGTGTGTGTGTGGTATGTGTTAACATATGTGTGTATATGTATGTGCATGTGCATTTAGTGTATGTGTGTGTGCATATGTGTTTATGAATATGTAATTGCAATATGTTTCTTTCATTTTCTCGAGATAGAAAGACAATCTTTTTTTCTGTTGTGAATTGAACACACTGTGTTCAGGGGCCACATGATTCTCTATTGTTGGCAGTAACTTGCTTCAGAATGTACTACATATAATTACTGATTAACATAGTATGCAGCAATAACCACTGGTTGATACTCTGTAAGTGATTTTCTTTCGCTATTTCTTTAGTCTCACCAAAGTGGTACAGTACTTATGACTGGTGATTAACCACACAATATAGTGCAGCTGTAGTATTTCACACTGTTGTCTCAATTTTCTGTTATAGAGATAAATTAGTTCCTTTATGTCCTGACATTATACATCATGTAACCCAGTAATCTGGCAACTGGAAGTACTATGAAATATAGAGGAAGGTATTCAAGATTAAACATGAAGATCATGCTCTTCAACTGCTTTGGGTGGAGTTCAAAGAAAGTTCATACTTTGCAGCATTCTGAGAATGTGAAAATATGACTGGCAATATTTCCTATGAATCGCTCCTGCTTTCAGAAGTATCCTCTCAAACATTTGAGATACAACAAAGTACTTTAGTAGAAGTTACTCATACTTCAAATATCCCAACTAGTGATTA